ATAAAATGTTTAAATAACCTCTCAGCAGTATGGGTCAGCATCTGTCTTCCAGGGACTTTTGATGCCAAACTTACCAAAGCATTCCTGTTTTCATGGTTTTGGAGATTTCAAAATTACAGATTTTTTAAAAAATCTTTTTTATAGATATGTGTGTACCTGGGTGTCAATATTAAATAGAAGTTAATTTTAAAAAATTGTACTGTAGTATTGCTAGAATCACTATTAAACTTGGAAGGAAAGAAAATGAAAAAACCAAAAACTGGGAAGGACCATTTTTTTAAAAAAATTAAAAGACTCACACTCGCTGTTGTGGAATTGGTTCCACCTCCAGTTAAGGTTTTCCACGGCAGTAAATTTTAACAGAGTTGATCACCCACCTTTCTTCTAAGGACCCACTTGATGGTTTCAAACCACTAGAGATGCCTGGCCTCTGTGTTAGCAGCGCAGCTTGCTACAGATTACACCACCAGAGCTCCATAAAACCAAAGTCTTGCATTTTAACAAGTAGAAAGATCAGGGCCAAAAAGGAGAGTGTTGTGACTTGCTGAGGCCACCTGCTTTTTTGCCTCGCTCTGCGCCTGCTAAGGCACTGCTTAGGCCCCTGGACCACACGCCATCTCCAGAGTCACGCAGTAACGGCCATCCTGCACCACGCTGGTCAGAAATTGGACTCTGTTCAAGTCTCTTCTGAATGGAGGAGCGGTTGCCTCCATGTCTGCTTTCTCCAAGTGCCTGTGGACGCCAGCTCATTTCCCCAGCAGGACACTGGTGCTCGTGTTTGGCCACAGGGTCAGGTGGCAGTGGAATCCCTGTCCAGGTTCCAGCGAATACTGTAAATTTCCTGAGTTTGTGGTTTAAACTGGTCTCTCCGGACCAGCAGTTGACATTTCCCCATTGTGGTGTTATATGCATATTTCCATGTTTAACATGTCAGACTGAATGAACATTGTGGTCTGAGGATTGAAAAGATTTATAATGGAGTCTTGAAAATTTACTTTAGGAATATGTACTTCCCCTAGCAATAACAAATACGGCTACAAATGACCATACTAAATTAAAGTAACTTGGGCATTTCTGATTTGTGGGAAAGTTAAAATTAATCTTATGGCGGTTTCAGTTTCAAAAAGAAAACATTGCTTTGCCTGACCGCAGATTTCCAGGCTGTTAGTCAACAGTGAAAGAGCCTTCAGGTGGCTCGTTTTTTCTTTAAGAAATAACCAGGTTTTTCTCTGTGTAGGAAAACAGTAAAATTGTCTTTTCAAATGATTCCTTGCCTTTGGAAAATTGCCTACCTTTTAATAGACAGCTGGATTGATGGAACCTTTCTTAAGAAGGTTTAGTATGTCTAAAAAAAAAATAAAATAGGTTAAGTTGTAATGAATGTGTGGAAAAGGGGGGACAGTGGGATAATGCAGGGGAAACTGGTCATTTGTAACTAGCGTTCTCAAGGTGCTAGTCATGTGTGTGTGTGTGTGTGTGTGTGTGTGTGTGTGTGTGGTCACTCAGGATGTGCTGTGTAGCTGTGTTTCTTGGTCTAGCAAGATTGCTATGATCTTTGAGTTCACAAGCACCACCGTAAAAGAGGAGAGTGAGGGCTGGAGGGAGGGAAAGGTGGAAAGCAGTACTTTGTATCTGTGTTTCATATTTGATGCTTTCAACATAGGTGCCACATTCTATAAAGTGCTCAGAAGCTTAAAAAATCAAAATTAGATTTCCATCTGTAACTGACTCAACGCAGGCGTAGGTAAAGATAGAATAGTGTTATAGCTGCTGCTGCTGCTGCTGCTGTTGTTGTATATCTGAGCTGTATGAGAGTGTTTTGTTTTACATTGAGAATCATGGTCTGTTGATACTTTTTAATCAGAATGAGAAAAGACATGGGAAAGCCTCATTTTTTTCAGCAGAGAATTTCTCTCTGACTTGCTGTGCGCACTCTCTGGTCTGATTCCCAGCCAGCCATTCTGCAAGAGGAGCTTCATGATGCATGAGGAATGATCCAGGTTCTTTCAGAGCTATGACTACACAGTGTCTGCTCTGAAGCTTACAGCTGAATACGGTAGACAAAATACGTAAACTTAACTATTTGATGACACTTCATCTAACAACTTTGTGCTTATAGTCACACATTGTACTGTACAACAGCCTGTGAAGTAGGCACTGATGCTGTACTGCACATAGCACATCTTCTGTGATCCTGAGTATCCAGCCGCACAAGGCTCACCAGCCACCTTTGGGATGGAGTCTATTTAGAAAAAATCAATAGGACAGAGCCACAGCTTTCCAGCAGAGTGGCGTCAAACATTCTTTCACAGAAGCCTTACCGCAGTCCTCACAGGTGAAAGACATCAGGTGAGTGAGGGTGAGCTACATCACAGGAGGAGGATATCCAGGCAGGGTCAGCAGCTATTCTGACATGTTTTTAAATAAGAGATAGCATTTTATACTGAATTGAAACCGATGAGGGAGAGATCAGTTTAAAAGTGATATATGATAGCATATTATGATTATCACATGAATCCAGAATTAACGTTGCATAGTGGAGTGCATTTGGGGCTGGGGGGAAAGGGGCAGGGTTGAGGGATTGTATACCAATGAAGTTTATCTTTTGGTTTTCAAAGAGAGGCGTGAACTGGGGGGGTGGGGGTAAAGAAAAAAGTGCAATAATGAATGAATGAAATCCAACATCTCTGTAAATGTTCATTAAAATTAATAAAATAAAATTTAAAAAAATAAAAGAGAGAGATAACATTTTACATTGTGTGAAACTGCCATTATACGAGTTTATTAAATGGTAGAGAACAATGGGAAAAGGACAGCATTGAATATTCCTAACAAAAGAGAAGTGCTGAAAGAATAATTATAAGCAGCCTTGGGCCCCACAAGTGTAAGCAGCCATGGACACAGTTATTAGGGTCTCCACAAAGCATGTGTTTGGTACAGGCTGTCACACTAAAGACCTGATGCTCTGGCTTCCTGGAAGGGCAGTATAGGGTGGTTCTAGTTCTTCCCAGTACAGATTGTAATTTACCATGAGAAGTTTTGCCTGGAAACGTAGTTGATGTACTTTTTAATAGGTTGTCTGAATTATCCAAAAGTCAAAAAGAAAGGCAAATGATTGTTCTTAATTTTTTTTAAGCCTACATTTATTGGTTGACCAACTTAGCCTTAGCTCACTTTGGCTTGTCTGACTCCCAAAACCAGGCTCTTAATTAAAATACAAGATATAAACATCTTAATCTGGTCTGGAAAGCAATGTATTCAAATTTTCTAAATAAACTAATACACACACAGAGAGAGAGAGAGAGAAAGAGAGATGTAAACATGCCATACTACTCAAAAGTATATCTATGTCTATTTTATAAACTACTTTGAATCTACTAGCATCAAGAAGAAGCTTGCTTTCTGGAAGAAACAGCACGTTTGTCTAGTGGTTTCGCCCACTCCTTGGCATAGTGCACACCCCAGCTCAGCATTCTGCCAGCTCGTTGTGTTCTACTTAGAATAATAAAAGAAAGCACTGGGTCCCTGCTCTCCACTCACAGTCCACATTTTGAGCAGAGGTTTATGAGGAGAGAAAAAAGATGTTTTAAGAGCAGTAGGACCAACTTTGCATCTGAAAATAAATGAGTACCTGTTATCCAGGTGCAGGCAATTCTGTTTTGCATTGTAGTTTCTTCTTTTAAAATCATCACCATTCATACCACAAAGCCCAAAAGCTCCAGGCAAACCATGTAACTTTATTACAGTTGAGTTAAACATATAAAACCCAGTTTATATGTCTAATTTGTATGGCAGAAGCCATTGAAGAAATGTGCCATGTATGTTCCCAGTATGAATGTAGAAATTTTAAGACACTGTAACAATATTACTGTTGTTTCATTGGGTGTTTGGTGGCTCTAAGCTTTGACCATGAGTTGGGACTGTGAGTTGAGTTCTTAAACTTGATAGTGTAGTGAAGAAAAATATTGAGATACTTTGCAGGCAGATTGTGAAATGATTGGATAAAATACCACGTGTTAGTGCAATAGCATTGGTTTATTAAGAATTTTATAGAAACGGTCAAAGCATAACTGATGGAGGGCACAGATAAGGCTTGGGGGCATAGTGACGTTCTGTTTCTGACGCTGAGAAGTGGGCACAGGTGGTATTTTCATTAAACAAAACACTTCCATGGACTACTAGCTATGCTTGTCATTTCAGTTTTCAAATATGCAGCTGACAAAGTTGGCCAAGAATATAGAAGGATTTATGCTCTTTCAATAAGAGATAACATTTTATATTGTTCTGAATTTATTAAATGGTAGGATAAGGATGAGAAAAGGTCAGGGTTTGAATGTTAATAACAAAAGAGAAGTGCTAACAGAGTAACTATGCGCCTCATCCTGCTCTCTTTTCTTGATCCTTCAGGGGAAGCTTTCTTTGCTCAGTCATCTGTCCATTGTTTGCTACTGTGAAAGGAATGACTGTAAGCCCAGAGTCTTTTCCTTCAAGTTAAAGGCAAAGGAGGCCATCGGTCAGCCAAGAAAATGTTAAAAACTCAAATTAAAATATGATAGCACTGAGTAATATAAACTAAAGTTTTAATGAGACCATCTTGAGTCACAGCCAGTGGTATGACCAATAAATACTGCCAACCTGCTCAAGATGAATGTACTCTTTACTTTGGAGTGGTCTGGCATTTTGAGGATGAGTTAGGCTTCCTGTGGGTTGAAAGAAAGAGGACTTTCTAAGAAAGGAAGTCTTAAGGCATTCATATGGGTAGAAACCTGTTCTAAGTGTGTAACTTTTCCAGCAAAGAAGTATACACCAAGAAGAAACAAACATTGGGGAACTCTTAAAACAACAAGCTACAAAATTACCTCATTTTGTAGGAAGAAGAAATCATCCATTTTTAAATTGACCTCTGAACAAGCACCTTTCTCATAGTCTAACATCCAGCGAGCTCAGGTCACCGTGCTCTGTAAACAGCATGGATCACTTACCTTCCCTTGTTACTTTAGATTCATGACAGATGCTGCCCGCCGAGAACAGGAGTCCCTGAAAAAGAAGATTCAACCGAAGCTCTCACTGACCCTGTCCAGCTCAGTGTCTCGAGGGAATGTGTCCACTCCACCACGCCACAGCAGTGGAAGCCTTACACCCCCCGTGACTCCACCAATCACCCCTTCCTCTTCTTTCCGCAGCAGCACTCCAACAGGTGAGTAGCTTAGTCCCCACAGTGGGCAGTGGGAGTGTGTGTGAGTGTGTGTGACCCACCTGTCCTAGGGGAGGAAGGAGCAGGGACTGATGGTTCAGACCCACTGCTTCCTTGGCCCTTTACTGATCTCTAGAATATATTGACATAGTATTTTCAGATGCTTCATTTGCATCTGAAAGTTGGACAGTAAATAACCTAAACTTAAGAAGAATTGATGCTGTTAAATTGCAGTATTGGCAAAAAGTATTGAATTTTCTGTGCACTGCCAAAATAACAAACAAATGTGCCTAGAAGGAAGTGAAACTAAGGTGCTCCTTCGAGGCAAGGATAGTGAAACTTCGTCTCGTGTACTTTTGAACATGTTCTTAGAAGGAGTCAGTTCTTGAAAAACACATCATGGTGGGAAAGCTAGAGAGGAAGATCCACAATGGGATGGATTGACACAGTGACTTTAACAGTAGACTTGAATATGGCAGAGATCTTGAGGACAGAGCTGGATAGTACAAGATTCTGATCTCTTGTTCACTGGGTCACTAAGAGTCACAGTTCACTCAGCAACATCTAACAACAAGAAGAAGAGTACATTGTTTCATTCTCTGTTAATACAGGAAATATTTGCAGATTATTATTAACGTATTTGTGACCGTGTTGTTGTTGTGTACCATCGAGTCTGAACCAACTCATAGCAGACCCTCTCGTGAGTTTTCAGAGGCAGTTAATTACATGGGAGGAGATTGCCCTTCGTTCTTCCATGGAGCAGCTGGTGGATTCGAGCCACGTGCCTTCAGGATTGCAATGCACCTTCTTGCCTCTAGGCCACCAGCGCTCCCTATATGTGATCATAGAATATTTTTAAAGCCCTTATCATTTGTTATGTGTGGGTGAAATGACATTGTCTTTGGTCAAGGGTGTGGAATTACGATCGATGAAATAGCATTTTTTTTATAAAATGTCATAAATCAACTCTGACACATAGTGACCTTAGGTACAACAGACTAAAGCCTTGACCAGGCCCGCACCAGCTTCACCCTCTTAATCTCTGCTTACTTAAGACGTAGTCACTATGTTAAACCATCGTATTCAGGGTCTTCTTTTGTATCAGTTAGTATTGAAGTTGGGTGTCTAGATTGGGTCCTCATACTATTCTATTTTTGAGATTTTTCCATAATAAAATTATTTTTTAATAAAAAAAAAACCAAACAAAATATTAAAGTGCCTAACCAATGCTTTTTACTGTGTGGATCACAATAAGCTGTGGCTGACTCTGAGAAGAATGGGAATCCCAGAACATCTGATTGTGCTAATGCGAAACTTATACTCGGACCAAGAGGCAGTTGTCAGAACAGAGCAAGGAGACACTACGTGTTTCAAAATCAAGAAGGGGGTTCATCAGGGATGTATTCTGTCTCCGTACCTTTTCAATCTGTATGCAGAACAGATCATCCGAGACGCTGGGCTATACGAAGAGGAATGTGGCATCAGGATTGGTGGGAGAATCATCAACAACCTGCGTTATGCAGATGACACAGCCCTGCTTGTTGAAACTGAGGAGGACCTGAACCGCTTGTTGCAGAAGATCAAGGACTACAGCCTCCTATATGGACTGAAGCTAAATATCAAGAAAACAAAGATTCTAACCACTGGGCCAATTGGCAGCATCAGTATGGATGGTGAAGAGATTGAGATGGTTCACAGTTTTAGTTTACTTGGCTCCACGGTCAACACTCTTGGTAACAGCAACCAGGAAATCAGGAGACGAATTGCATTGGGAAAGTCGGCTGTGAGGGACCTCTCAAGAGTACTGAAGAGCAACGATGTCAGATTGGAGGCTAAGGTGCGCCTGATCCGGGCTATAGTCTTCGCAATTACGTGCTATGCATCAGAGAGTTGGACAATGACTAGGGTTGATAGAAAGAGAATTGATGCCTTTGAGCTGTGGTGCTGGAGAAGAGTGTTGAATATACCATGGACTGCTAGGAGAACAAACAGGTTCATCCTGGAGAGGGTGAAGCCAGAATGTTCCCTGGAGTCAAGGATTCTGAAGCTTTGTCTGACATATTTTGGGCATGTTGCAAGGAGGGACTGGTCCTTGGAGAGGGACATCATGTTTGGCAGAGTGGAGGGGCGGCGAAGGAGAGGAAGACCTTTGATGAGATGGATCGATTCTGTGACTAGAGAGGTGGGAATAAGTGCGTTTGAGATGGCTAGGTTGGCACAGGATAGAAGAGCGTATAGAGCTCTTGTACATAGGGTCGCTATGAGTCTTAAGTGACTCATGGTACATAACAACAACAACAACAACCAGTGCTAGACACTATGCAAAGCTGAGCTACAAAAATGGACAAAAAGGAATCTTCTCTTCTCTCTCTTGTCCAATAACTTTTGTCCAGAGGAGAACTTTGGCATTCTAAGGGGCTAATAAGAACACTTCTGTCTTCCCCTCGCAAATATTGGTGGCTGGGAGCCTGTTGCTCAAAGCAATTAGAACCTGAAAGTGAGTCTTTGAGATTAACGGTAGGTTAGAGGCTGGAAGCCTCTTGTTTAAAGCAGTTAGGACCCAGAAGGTGGGCCTTAGTGATTGCCAGATATTTTAAACTTGAAAATAAAAAAAGATCCAAAGCAAGTGGCGGTGCCAGGGCTGCTGCACAGCTAGAAGAGCCACCGCGTTCTTGACGGTAGCACGTGCCCCGAGCTCTCTGCTTCCCCCGCCCACCAGACCGAGGCAGCCGGAGCTCTACCCGCGGTCCCAGCAACAACACTTAGAACAGTCCAATAAAGAGACATGGCCGGGTGGAACACCTACATCCACAACTTCATGGCGGACGGGACCTGTCAGGACGCTGCCATCTTGGGCTTTAAGGACTCGCCCTCCGTCTGGGCCGCTGTCCCCGGGAAAACCTTCGTTAACATCGCATCAGCTGAGGTTGGAGTTCTTGTTGGCAAAGACCGGTCAAGTTTTTTTGTGAATGGGCTGACACTTGGGGACCAGAAATGTTCTGTGATCCGGGACTCACTGCTAGTCGATGGGGAATATACCATGGATCTTCGCACCAAGAGTACTGGCGGAGCACCTACCTTCAACCTTACTGTCACCATGACTGCCAAGACGCTAGTCCTGCAGATGGGCCAAGAAGGTATCCACGGTGGTTTGATCAACAAGAAATGTTATAAAATGGCCTCTCACCTGCGGCATGCCCAGTACTGATCTCGTCTGCCCCTTACCCACCACTCCCCACTGCTTTTGCACCCCTATCCTTCCCGTACACATAACACCGTTTTTATTTTTTGGGGCCATTACCCCACATCCTTTATTGCTGCCAAAACTATATGGGCAGGGGGCAGTGCTGCATGGACAGATAACCTCCCCCTACCCATACCCTTCCTGTGTGTGGTTTGAAACTTTTTGTTTTTTGGATTTTTTTTTCTGAATTAAAAAAAGATTCTACTAAAAAAAAAATCCAAATAATAGCATTTGCCCAGGAGTAAAGCTCATAAAGCAGGAAAAGATAGGATAGAAGGTCAAAGGGAAATTAGAAGCACAGGGAAGAAGTGTGGAGAGTACTATTACAGTTGTCATCATTGTGTGCTATAGAGTCACAGCCAATTTACAGAAGACCCACCAGTGGATTTTCAGAGGCAGTAAATTGCGTGAGAGGAGAGATTGTTCATCCTTCTCCCATGCAGCAGCAGCTGGTGAATTCAAGCTGCCTGCTGTTGAGATTGCAGCACACCTTCATACAACTAGACCACCAGAGTTCTTTTCCCCTTCCAGTGTATTTGCCCTAATTTAACTTGTTTCCTGAGCTGTCCTTCTAAGCTTACCTGACTAGAGAACAGACCAGAGTTCCCTCGGGCTAGATGCAGCTGTATACTCTTACATACTCAATTCCTTCTTCCAAATCCGTGGACCCATTAAATCATTGTTCCTCCCTGGGCAGCAGTAAGTAGAAAAGGTTGGGAGTCTTCTTCTACTCATCTGTGTAGCAGGGAATGTTGCCTCCTCTTCCTCACTGTCAGAGGCCATATTGTTGTTAGGTACCATCAGGTTGATTGTAATTCAGACCAACCTCATGAGACAGAGTAGAATCACCACATAGGATAGGCTATAATCTTTAGGGAAGCACATCTCTACATCTTTTCCCTCCAGAGCCACTGCATGGATTTGAACTGCCAGACTTTCGGACAGCAGCTGGGCCACCAGACCTCCTTAGTAGAGGTATCTCACTGTTATGGCTGTTGAGCTGGACCCAACTCATAGCTGACCCTCTCTGATTTGGTAGTAGCTGTTTTTTATGGCTGAGGAAATTATGAAAGTTAAACTTGTTTCTTTAATATAGTGATTTTCTAAGCTTTTTTTTATGTGCATGATTATTTTCTATTTGCCAAATTTGATTACTGTGTTGTTGTTAGGTGTTGTCAAATTAGTTCTGATGCTTACAGACCCTGTGCAAAAAGGAAAAAACACACCCACAACAGAACAGTGGCCTTTGCCAGCCTCACAGTCATCACTGCGTTTGAGACTGTTGTGGCAGCCACTGTATCTATTGGTCCATCTAATTGAGGATCTCCTGCTTTGCTTTGCTTTTCTTTTCCTTTCCTTTCCTTTTTTTTTTAATGTTCTTTCCCAAGAATGATGCTCTTTTTCTCCAGGAATTGCTCCCTCCTGATAAATTGTGAAAGTATCTGAGATGCAGTCTTGCCATTCTTGCCTCTAAGGAACATTCTAGCTATACGTTTTCTGGGATAGGTGTGTTACTTCTTCTGGTAGTCCATAATATACTCAATATTCTTTCCAGCACTGTAATCCAAAGACATGTTCACAGTCTTTTTCATTAATTGTTCCACTTGCATATGCATATGAAGCAATCAAAAACTCTGTGACTTGAGTCAGGCACACTTTAGTCATTCAGAAGACATTTTTCTTTTTAACACCTTAAAGAGGTCTTTTGCAACAGATTTGCTCAATATAATATGTTGTTTTTGTTATCTTAAATACTGCT